TATGAGGGACAGTTTGGTAAAATTCTAGGGATTGAAGAATTGCTTTCTTAAGGCTAACACTAACTGTGGTATCAGTTTTCTTATAAAATGCTAATGTTTCTCACCTTATGTACTCAGGTTGAAAATGCAGTTCACATAACTAATAAATGAATTAAAAGGGCAATTACACCCTTGGAGAAAAACTTAATTTAAAAAATGTTGTCCATATTTTTACCAAAAATTTCATTAAATTGATAAAATAATGAGTTTCGTTTTTGTAGATGTTCTAAAATTCAGTAACAAAATCCAAAACTATTTAGAAATATTAAACAAATCACATAAGCAAAATTATATGTAAACTTAAGCAACTTTTAAGATTATACATGCATATTTGTGGACTTTTTTATGGAAATATTTTTTACAAATAAAAAAATTCAAACATGTGTTTTTAAATGTTTATTAGAAATTAAGAAAATTTCTTTTAAGTATTTGTATTGAAAATTTTATTAAAAAATCATGAATTTAATAATTTCATCCACAGAATTCAATAAATCTTTTAACAGCAGAAGCCACTTCATTACTTTATTTCAACATATCATGAATTATAAAGTCATGAAATTAATTTAATTATTAAGTTTTAATGCTTTTCACAAATAATATAAAAGAAATTACTCACTTTACTATTTTTGCTTGGTACAAAATTTTCCCTTTTGATAGCACTTATCCTTGCATCTGATAATTCCTGAACTTTTGGAAATGAAAATTAATTCACTTTTTTGGTCCATTTTAATAATTCCTTTGCATTTTGGGACAGCACAACTATATGGCATTTTCTTTGCAAATTATTTCAGTGAAAATATTTACAAAATATTTGCAAAACAAATAAAAAATCAAGCCAAATCAAGAAAACTCAAACAGTAAAAAATGGAAGTATTTTCTCCATATAGTGACATCAGCACACAAACACCGCACATCGAACAGGCTTTCTATCTGGGTGGTGTTGCAGAAAGACACTACAATGAATGTTTATGGTTGTTAATTGGATTAAGGTCTTGCAACAGTTTTCATTCCATTTTTTTTTTTTTTGGTTTTCTGTATTTCGTTCAAAGAAATAGGTTATTTATTTAAATAGTTTTATTTATATTTCCACATTTTTTACCTTTATCAGTTTGAATCATCTAAAATGATTTAAAGTGATCAAGGTAAATGCAAAATTTGTTAGAACTGTTACAATATTTGTTGATAACAAATATTCATTGTTTCTGACAAAAAGGGACTGTTTATTCCATAACTATGGCAGACACAGAAAGAAAACTGCAAGAATTCCTAGACAAGGTAATAAAGTAAAGTGGGGAGAAAGGATAAACCATCAATTGTCTGAAAACAAACTTAATGGTCGTCAGCAAGAAGGACAGCACACAAGATGCAAGCTACAAATTGGGGATGTCAGAATCAAGCAAGTACAGAAATTTAAAGACCTGATAAGTGATTTAACAGACAACAGGAAATGTGACACAGAAATCAAAAAGCATATTGGAAAAAATGACTTCCAAAAAATAAACCAAGTATTAAGAGACAAGAAAATCTTTTTAGAAACAAAGAAAAGAGTACTGAACTGTTATGTAATAATATCAGTCGTCCTATATGGCAGTGAATACAAGATAATTTCCTCACAGATGAAGGGGAGACTTGAATTAAGAGAGATATGGTTCTATAGGATGCCAAGAGTACAATGGACAGAGCATGTAAGCAACAAGGAAATTTTAAGGAAAATGGAAAGATGCTTATACACAGAATAAGAAGGGCACCTCGAGGTGGTGTAATGGTTAGCAAGCTTATCTCGCTTGATCAGTTACGACTGGGTAGTGAGATCGATCCTCACTGGGTTGCCCTATACTTTCGGCCTTGTGCCACATCTAAGCTATGCCTGGAAAATAACTATACATAGAATCATAAAAAGGCAACTGAAATTTCTGTGATGCATAATGAAAAAAGAAGGCTTGGAAAATTTGACAGCCAGAGGACATACAGTAAAACAGCAAGTAACCTACCTGACAAGCTTGTGTAAATGGATGGCACAACAGGAAGTTGGAGGGATAGTAAAATGGCAAATATTATTAAGAACTACAAAGAATATGGAGTTGTGAAGAACCCCAATCATCCACATCCTAAAGAGTCACAGCACATAATATAGTAATATGTAATTCAAAAACTGAAGCCAAAATGTAAACACAAAAGAAGTGCAATTTACTTATTGCTGCAATTTATATAAACTAAAGTGCCAAACATTAAAGAAAGATACTAAAATAATAACTTCAACATGTCATTGAGCCTACAAGCTACTGGTGTCATTGCATAGATATCTCTATCCAGACACATTTGATAACTATCTAGAACTGTTTATTGTGTAGTTACAGGCGATTTACTGGAGTTATGTTACATAGATGCTCAATGGGGTTTAAACCTGGTGGGTGTGAGGGCAAATGGAGTGCCTGAAAGTTATCCAAATGTTCCTGGAACCAGTTTCATGTCACCTGGGCACAGTGAAGAGGTGTGTTTCATTAGACTGTCAAAAGAAATCATCTCCACCGGGAAATATGATAAGCATAAAAAGGTTCAACTTGTCTGCAACAAGGTCTGTGATATGACACTCTTGTCAAGACAGACTCTGGTTTCACTAGTGGTCCTTGTTAACTCCAATAAAAGTCACCACCAGCAATTAGAGAGACAACATCAATAAGTACAACCTGTCTGCTGACTGGCTGGATCCATACATTTATGTGGTCTCCTCCACACACAGATTTGACCATCTGGCTGAAAGAACAGGAAACATGATTGATTTGACCAGGCAACATGAGTCAATCTTTCACACACATAGTGGATGTGCAGGTAATGTAATGGATAGCGTCTTGGAGTGAGAAATGGAAGAAACAAGTTTGAATTCTAGTCCGATTTGTCACAATCACTTACATGCAAATACTCTTAGGAAACATATGATTCCACCTCCCCCCAGCTATGGGTTAAATACTAAAACTTGTATCTGGAAAAATAATTTCTCAAAAATTGTTAATACAGTATTCACTTGCAAAAGAAGAATTCTTACAATCCAATGTTTCAGCCTTAAATAACCAACAAAAATTGATAACCCATAAAAACAAATCAATCAAATCAATCAATCCCAGTCCAACAATGATGTTGAATTGACTCCAGGTGAGGTTGCAAGTAACCAATGCCTTGGCATTAATATTAAGAGTGCTCTTGTTGGTTGATAACTATGAAACTCTATGTACAGAATATAGCATACACTGAACAGTGAATTGAACAGCACTTATGTTGAATTGCAATGTTCTCCTTCTTTAGTTTGTTACCATATTTGTCAGTTGTGAGTAGTTCCATATCTACATCATTTGGAGGCATCCTCTATTTTCATATGTTGTTATTATCAGTCCATAATTCACATATTTCTTGCAAACCTTTGCTACTGTTGACCTATGTATATGCATGTAGCACGATATCTATCAACTTGGAAGGTGGGATTGGTAGGTAGAGTTCCAGTTGAGGACATTGCATTTACTTTCACACAATTACCCTTGGAAAGGTATAAATCCGTCTCTTCTCCCTGCAGATAGATGTTAGTAGCAGTGAAAAATTGGGTAGCACAACCTAATCTACTCAGTATGGAAACAACATCAGTAACACTTAGCATAGTGAAACTGTGGTCCTATACTCCAAGGAGTTAAAAGGGTTATCACACATTCATACTGTTGCCCAAGAAAAAACCTAGAACAGTTGCCATTTCAGAGATTGAATACCCCATTTTTCTAGACACAACAATTAATCCACAACCAAATGGTGCTATGTGTTTAGTTACTGTTACAGCTATCCTGTCATAGCATCTTCTTTTTGACATATTTTACTTTTGTTCAGCCAATACAAAACCCAAGAGTCACTCAAGAGAGAGGGTTACTAAATGGGGATGTAATAAGGGTGTATACAGAAAAGTGAGCAAGGGTGGCATATTATGAGGATATGTGGGATAGACAATGGTTGACTCTCAACTTGAAGAGGTTAAGATAGTAGTGATCAGGAAAGCATGCTCTTCTGGAAAAGATACTGCCTGGACTTACACCTTACCAATAGAATATGAACAGAATGAGGATCAGTCGACTCAGTCTAGATGGTATGGCAAGGACTAGCTATGAAGGTTTGTTCTGGGGGAACCAAGGAATGTAGTTTGCCAGGACATGAAAATAGCAATGAAGTAGTAAGAGGCTAACAATGTTTTATCTGTGGCAAAGGGGTGGAAAATAATTCATCACCCACAAGATTGTGCAAAGTGAGAATTGGGCCCAGATGTGGCAGCAATATTCCATTTTTGGTCTAATCTTGCTCTTGTAAAGATAGAGCATGACAGGAGGAATCAGATACTTTCTCAGGCAGTAGAGGGAGATGACTATTTTTCCAGCTGTTTTGTGATGGATCGTATGAGTTTGCACTTTAGGTCTGGTGTCAGCTAGTCCATGTTCCCAGCAAGGAGCCTCACTGAGTATTTTCAAATGATAGGAAAAAACTTAAGCTCTGCTCTATGATGGTGAAATGTTACTAGCTTGTTTCTGGAATGTCATACATCCAACTGAGTTGATTTCTACAAGTTGGAAAGGATGAAACCATCCAATGTATGTCTGTTTCTAATTATCTCACACTTCAATTCACAAGTTTGTATAATAATTTTTTGATATAAAAAAAAGTATCTTAATCCTTGCAGTCTTTATTTGTTTTTTAATGATCTGTAATTTAAATATATAAAATACAAACACATTTAATAATAAAAAAAAATTGTAAGGGTAGAGAAGAGACAGAAACAATTTGAATATTTCCAAGACCTTTCCACATAACGTATTTATTGCACAAATCTCTTCTCAAGGTAGACCTAAACAAAATTCAAAATGTATACACTTTATTTTCATAGCAAAATAAATTACACTGCAAGAACTGCCAGTGTAAAAAGAGCAATGGTTGGTTCATGGAAATATTGAGGTGCGTCTCCACAAAACAGAATTTTCATAACTGGTAATTATTGATAAGCTGTCTTCCTCCAGAAGATTGTTAAATGTTGTTTCAGTAGATTTGTCAAACTTAAAAGTGTCTGCATGGAGCTGTGTGCAGGCATTTACCTTGGAAACAGGATCAGTGCCTACATCTTTTTTCAGCTGTTCTGGTGGTAGATCTAAGGTTTCTTCAGATGATATAGTTGTGTCAGATAGCTGAGCCATATCATCTGCAGGTGGAGTTAATTCTGACTTTTCAGTTTGTACAGGGGGTGGAATTTCTTCAGCCAGCTGAGAAGTTTTATCAATTGGTTCTTGAATTTCAGGTGGTAATTGATCAGAAGCTAGAAGCTCAGTGGGAGCAGTAGTTACAGGCTCAGCTGGAGATGGAGACTCAACAGGTGGTGCAGGCTCAGCTGGAGGTGGAGACTCAACAGGAGGCACAGGCTTAGCTGGAGGTGGAGACTCGACAGAAGGTGCAGGCTCAGCTGGAGGAGCAGGTTCAGCTGGAGGGGGAGGCTCAACAGGAGGAGCAGGTTCAGCTGGAGGCGGAGGCTCAACAAGAGGAGCAGGCTCAGCTGGAGGCGGAGACTCAACAGGAGGAGCAGGCTCAGCTGGAGGCGGAGACTCAACAGGAGGCTCAGGCTCAGCTGGAGATTCAGGTGGAGGTGGAGGTGGAGTCACAACTATAGTTGTAGGTGGGGATTTAACTACTTTTGGAGACTCTACTGGAGATGCAGGTTTAACTGGAGGCTCTACTGGAGGTGGAGATTTAACTGGAGACTCTACTGGAGGTGGAGATTTAACTGAAGGAGCTTCTACTGGAGGTGACACCACTGGAGGTGGAGATTTAACTGGAGGAGACTCAACTGGAGGTGGGGATTTAACTGGAGGAGACTCAACTGGAGGTGGGGATTTAACTGGAGGAGACTCAACTGGAGGTGGGGATTTAACTGGAGGAGACACTGCTGGTGGTGGAGATTTAACTGGAGGAGACTCAACTCGTGGTGGAGATTTAACTGGAGGAGACTCAACTCGTGGTGGAGATTTAACTGGAGGTGGTGACACAATTCTTGGTTCAGATTCCTCTGGAGAATGATATGGTGGTAACCATTCTACAGCTTCAGTCGGCATAATCTGTACAGTAATCTCTGTTACTTTAGGTGGCATATCTGTTCTTGAATGTTCAACACTCAATGGCAATTCTGCTGCTTCTGCTGGTTCTGCTGCTTCTGAAAGTATATTGATAATCGGTTCAGAACAGCTAGGTTGACGCATTATTTAACATAAACTTCTACCCAATTTTCACCCATGATTACTATGTATAGCTGTAAGTTATAAACTAGTTATTCCCATCTATTAATTCAATACAAGATATTTAGTAGGATCTTATCAAAGTTTTGAGATTCTAAGTCTAGAAATAGACCTGTTCGACTTTGAAATTTCTCACAAGAAATAAAGCATTTAAGTGTGAATTTAAAATCTTACAACTGTAAAATCGTACAACTAAATAAGAGTGGTGAGGTTGAGTTAAAGCAGCAGAACCATGGAACAGAAGCCAAAGCTAATGCAGAACCTGCCAGGTGTTAACATTTTCAGTAACAAGTGGATGCTGATTCAAAAGTGGATGGTACCAAGATCCAGGCTTGAAAAGGAAGTGATTCAAATCTGTTTAAGTTCCTGTTGGGAATGATGGCAAGTCATCAGATAATTCCTGAAACCAAACTCTAAAAACACCAACAGGTACATTCAACAGCAAAAGAAAATAAAGCTATACATAAAAATATGAAGATGAAGTAATTACAATGAAAATCTGAAAGGTTGAAAATGGTAATCAGTAACTTGGCAGATGCTTTTATATGCTCCCAGGCACAAGTTATTGTTTAGATGGAAGACTACACACTGAAGAGACATTTTTTCAGATGAATGTCAAAAGATGTAACAAAAAATCATTTATTTGTGGGAAAGGAAGTGTTCTACAATTGTTCATAGAATCATAGCTAAATATCTATGAGAAACATTCACTTTTGTTATTGGAACTTAAATACAATAAAAGCATACATGTATTAAACAATGACTTTTCTCCTGAAAGTATTTCACTCCTTCTGTCATGCTTTATTTTTACAAGACTCAGATCAGACCAAAAATGGAATCTTGCTACCATATCCTCACTTTCCAGCTTTGACAGTTCAAAAATCATTACATGGCCTTGTTGGTGACAAATTATTTTTCATCTTACAACCCCTTTCACACAGATGAAACATCTCAAGCCTATCTATTACTATTTCCATGGTAAATATTCAGACAAGCTACATTCCTTAGTTCCATTTGTTCAGACCTTTACATCTATGGCCCACTATGTCAAATACACAGAGTTGAATCATCTTCATTCCTTTTGTATTCCACTAATTAGGAAGTTTGACTTAGAGAACTTCTTCCCAAGAACCACTACTTTGTGGAACAAACTCCTGATGAGATGCTTCCCTGATCACTACAATCTTAACCTCTTCAAGTCCAAGATTAACAGTTATCTGTCATACATATCCTCATAATCTACACATCCTTTTGTTCCATCTATACAACAACCTCATTCATTAAGCCTCTATCTTGAGTAACTCTTGAGCTTTGTATTAGTTGAACATTATTAAAAAAAATAATAGTAAATGATATGAAACTACAGGCTAAAATTGGAAATTCTTCACATTTTGCTGAGGTCCTTTTAAACTTTTAAACTTACTTCAAACGAGCAAAGAATGTTTCCTCAGTTATCAGGCAATTACTTGTACAAACTATCATACCCACATAATGTCTACAATGAGAAATTTTCTTTAGCACAATAAATTCAAACAGTTTAATAACAAAGAAAATGTGGGTAAATTTTGAAGTTGGCTATAAGTAAAAAGGTATACTCATGAACCTTTTAAATCTTTTAGTATTTACAGGCAAGACTGCCATTTGAAAGGAGGGTTCTATTAAAAAGAAAGTAATCACAAATATTTCATTGACAAAAATTCACTTCCACATTATAAACTAAACAAACAATATCAATTGATTACTTATTTACACAAGAAATGGTTTCTTGTCAATAATTTATGACTTTTACATTCAAGAGTTAATTTGTCCTATCACTTAAAATTAAAAATATTTTTTAAAATTATTAATGTCAACTTCTAGTCTAAATAAAAGTGGCTGCAAATTTTAACAGAATATTGAAATACATTAACTATGCTTTTGCAGAGGGTCCTTGGATACATGGCAAATAAATTTGTTTCATGAAATAGGAGAAATTAGAAATTAATAGTACATCTGTTGGCAAAATTTTTATTTGATTTGATTACAAGCTTCGGTAATCTGTGCATCCTCACCATCTGGAGAGTCGAAATTATAGACTTTAACCTGCAAAAATAATTCATTTAAAGCTTGGTAAAAAGCAGCATATCAATTCTTCTTAATTTAGAGATTAACAGATATTATTTTTCTACTTTTATCATACAATATCTATTTGGTAACATAACCACATTTTTTATGATCATTTTGATGTTGACACATAGTCATCCTAAAATTATTTAACTTTTACAATTCTACAAATTCTAAATTTGATTCCTGTTTATCAGCTGATCTTGAAGAAGATTTCTATTCTTAACTAGATTCATGACTGTGCTTAAACAATGGATTCAACCAGTGTAAGACGCTTATCAAGAGGACTTAATAAACTGTTATCATAGGCTTGATAAAAAGATTTGAAATTTTTTTTAGACAAACATCAAGCAAATGTAAATACGAGTTAATGGAGAGTATTACTTCAGCTTGTTACATGAAGATATACTAGCATCATTGATGTACAGGTGGTGTAACAGTTACTGGAATTGGCATGTCATGTTCAAATTCTGACAGAATCGGTTTCATTCACTTCTCATTAAGGCTCTAGCAAAAAGTAGGAATCTGTCTTACTCCAGCAATGCCCATCTGTATGTAGTGAATTTTTTCAGTTATGTAGTAGAAAGAGATTTTTATGTTAAACTTGATAAATAAATTACTTGCTCATCTCTATGCATTGGAGGCTTTTGATGACATAGTTGAAATAGAATTTTTTTTTTAATTATTTTTCTTTTGAACTTAAAAACTAAAGATGCTGTGTGTTTTATTTCCACATGTTTATACTAGAAATATTGTGCTAAATGAACTCTTAAATTGTGACTGGCCCTGTCAATAAATAAATTTTTAATGTAAGAAATGTTTAAATATAAAATGGTCATTTTGAATTACAAATGTCATAACTCGGCTTGAAGACAACATTATTAGAATTAACACAATGTTGAAAACAAACCACCAGTGGATTATAGAATCCAAATACAAACTGAGGTCACATGAAATAACAAACAGCCACAAGGCATTTTTATCTGTTCTGTATTGGTGTAGATCTACTGGTACATCTAAGACCCACCAAGTTGATAGGGGACATGTTTGATGAATAGGGAGAATGATGATTAACTGTATTAGTTTTTGCCAACTTATTTGTGAAATACAAGGTTTTGCATTATCCTGCAGCAGGATAGAAACATTGCTACTAGTTCTTGCAACTTTTGACAAATCAATTCAAGATCACAACAGGAATTTGAAGTGATGGTCTCATCAAGTTGCAAGCTCATGTAATGGATTACTCAATTACAAAGTTAGGAGAATCATTTTGGGACTGAAGATTTAGTTTGGGGAAGATGAAAGGGTGAGCAAGTTTGTCAACCCAAAGAAAGCAACATTTTTTGCTTATCATACATTAACACTTTCATCAAGAGTAAGCACCCAATGAAGAAAAGGGTGATTTTTGAAATGCACAAGCAAATTGCAGCAAGAGTCAAACTATGAAAGTTGATGATTACCAATCAGTTCATAAGATATCCACTTGTGAAGATTTTTCATTTTACTGATTCGTCGCAGATGCTTTTTTTCTGATTGTTCTAAGTGTACCCTATCATTTTTTCCCCAAATATGAACATTAGTTTTATGATGAGACTCCATGCCTACCCACAGTTGTCAAGAGACAATTTTCAATTAAAACAAAGCTTATCTTGGAGATCTGGATTACCAAAAATGGATTTTGGAGGCCAATAATACATGGTCCATTCTGAAGCTGATTCCAACCCCAAATCACAGGAGGCTTTGGCAACTTAATAGTCATATTTGAACTTGATTAGCTTAATGATGCAAAAACCATGTTTTTTTTCTTTGGTTTGATATACCATAAAAAATAAAATTAAATTAACAAAATAAAAATACTAGAAAGTGATGAAGAGTTCTAAAATTATATATATGCACATAGATAGATAAATTCTGTGCATGTGTTTGTATGTACATATAACTTTAGATATCTCCATCTACTCTTTCTAGCATTTTCATTTTATTAATTTTATTATTATAAACAGATTTAGTGATTAGTGTTTGAGGTGATAGTCTTGTTATTCTAGACATTGAAATTAATGTCAACAGGCTTAAAAAAATCCAGATTACTTATTGTGTCTGTGAGTGTGTGTGTGTGCGTAAACAGAAGGGAATCATGCAAATAAAAAAAAAAATTTCGCCAATGCAACACAAAAATGTTCATTCATTTTGTTCCAATTTAATATGCATATATATATTAAAATAATTGCTTTCATTTATGATAGTTGTTTACATATGGGCAGAGTAGAGGATTAATTGCTATTTTTACTTAATTTTTCTTTTACTTTAATATTCAAGAATTATTCAACCTAGTCCAGAAAATGCAGATCAAAATAAAGGTTAGATATCTGATGAGTATAAAGCATTTACAAAATTACAGACATAGAGTATCCAATCAAAATCAAAATTAATATCAGATATTTTTTTTAGAAACTTTTAAATAATACTGGAGTTTTATGTTTTATTTTTCATAATTAATGCTGGATTTTAGAATGGGCATTAAGGAGTTAAATTTTAATCTATTATTAAAATATTAAATCTCCAGCTCATATTCTCGAGTACTTTTTGAGTAAAATGAATAAATGAAGACATAATGCAGTAAGACCTTTTCTTGGAATTTTCTCTTGCCATTTTATATTTTAAGGTAGAGGTGCTTGGTAGGAAGAAATAGCTATTATGGTATAGCTTTTGGAGTCTGTCTAAGACAAGCAAGTTACTTTAAGTAAAATCTCCAC